TATTTACCTACATCAGCTTTTCGGAAGAATGCCGTACCTGGTAAGTAATTGCACTTTTAAAACCCTTGTTAGCCTGCCTATTGAGTATCTAGTAGATTAGATAGTGACGAACTAGTCAGCTGATTTCCGTTTTCATTCTCAGTACACGTGGAAAGAGATAGCAATTGTTTTCATTGACTAAGCGACGCATCGCGCGTAATTTGTGAACGACATTATGCAGAATGTAGTCAATGTTTACTTAATTACTTTATGTAATTAACTGGTCCGGGGTACGAAATTTCTTCACAATTGTAATCTGTAAACATAACACTACCTCCCATTAAAGCCGTGGCAGATAATTATAGAGCACCTTATATATGTAACTTATATTTTCAGAGAAGAACCAGAAATATACATCAAGGACGAACCACTCACTGAAGATGACGATAGGTAAGTACTATTTGTATTTACACTTTTGGCAATGGGCACGCGCACTTTAATAGGATTATTGTATCTTGTCTCCCTTAACATCGTTTGACTTAAAAACAAATTTAACTAAACATAATAAAATTGGTGTGTCTGTTTTTAATATTAAAATAACCGCTTTTTACTACATGCATCAATACATAGTATAAAACAAAGTCGCTTTCGCTGTATGTCCGTATGTATGCTTAGATCTTTAAAACTACGCAACGGATTTTGATGCGGTTTTTTTTAATAGATAGAGTGATTCTTAAGGAAGGTTTGTATGTATAATACATGCATATTGCACCCGTGCGAAGCCGGGGCGGGTCGCTAGTATGAATATAATATTACAAATACCATTTTTTATTTAGTCTGTCTGTCTTGTTTGCACTGGCTAATCTCTGGAATGGCTGGACCGATTTTGATGGGAATTTTATTGGTAACTGGTGTACTAAGGAGTAATAGGTTACTTTTATTTTGGAAAATTGTAACAAAAACAGTTATGTTTTAAAATTAATATTCTACGCGGACGATGTCGCGGGCAACAGCTAGTATATTATGTTACTTGTTAGTTATTATGGATTCAATCCAGACCGAGTCCGATATTGGAGCTCTAAACCAGCCTACCATATCATATGTAATTGTATTTTTCTCCTCAAAAAAAATATGAACACATACAACTTAATAGACAGACGAACAAACAAATAATTAAAGTTGCTTTTACCTTGATTCCAGTGCTAATCCCCTGGAGATCGGCGTGGTGGCTCCCTCTATCGCACACACTGCGCACACACCGAGCGATACATACACCACCACTACAACAGACATACAGTAAGTTGATGCAGTTTTTTATACGTATATTTCACGTCATGAAGAAGTACACAGTACATGGCAATGGACCCTACCGTGTTTTTGGTGAGGTGGCGCTAGTGAGACCTCTAGTTATTCGTCCCATAGAGAATTATTTATTTACATATTTGGCAAACCAACAGCTAGACGATTTGATTAAATAGAACAAAAAACCAATTGCTGGTTTCCAAGAGAAGTAACAGAGAACAGAAACATGCCAACAAAACACACTAAGATTACTAATAATAATTAAACTGCAGGTAATCTATAATGAAGCATTGAGGACCGTAGGTACCCGCTATGAATTAAAGAAATCAAAATGCAGCTGCCTGCGCGCCTCAGTGAGCTTTGAATTAAATGGGCCTAAAGAAAAATGCTTATAGAGTTTATTGAAATCACTATCTGTACTCGGAATTTTAATTCGATTCCAGATTTGACAATTTCAGGGTTGCAACGTTATGACAAGTACTAAATAGTGACGTTACGAAATTATTCGATATGGAAATGGAATATTTCTGGATCGATTCTTCTCGTTTATAATTTTACTTCCGTAAACTAAGTATATCAGGAAATTAAATATTTCTGAACCGATAATTTAGTTTTGACGATTAATTAACGATCTGAGACTTTTCTTTTATAACTGCGTGTGAAATAAATAAATAAATGTAATCATGAAGGAACATGATAAATAAAACAGATAGATGTATTATGGTAATAAGTTATTTTATGAATTGTCGCCGTCATCGCTATCGCTATCCTGTCACTTTCTGTAACATTTAATTACACACACACTGATTGTTTATCGATTTTTGTGTTCATCACTGCACTTATATGTGGTATCATTATTTCACAAAATGACAGTAGCTAATGTAAAATCTGGAATCGAATTAAAATTCTGACTATATTTTCATCATCAATTAGCTAGTGTCCTGCCATTGGACGTTCAATATTTGACAACTGCAGTGATTGTACAAAAAACCCCTTCCTACGTTTGCGCAATTTGATGGGAAAGAAAACGTTGTAACACCCCATAGTGGTGGTAAGAGACGGCTCGTCATGCTTCGGCGCGAATGGGTCGGTTCGACTGGAGTGATACCACGGGCAGAAAACCGACGTGAAACAACGCTTGAGTGGTGATTCATAGTCTGAGTGAGGTTACCGGAGGCCCAATTGCCCCCTTCCCCAATATTCCTATCAATCCTCATATTACTAATCCCCAAAAGGCCATGCACATGTAACGCCTCTAGTGTTCAGTGTCCATGGGCGACGTCGATTGCTCACCATCAGGTGATCAGTCTATTCGTTTATCGACTTATCATAAAAATGTGATGTAAGTAACATCCATCCTTTTCATGTCCCCTTTGGTCATTAAAATATGTGTCATTATAACATCTCGCCTTTTATCCCCGAAGGGGTAGGCAGAGGTGCACATTAGACCACTTGATGCCACTATACAATGCAACTCCCACTTTTTACTATATATGTTATGAGTCCCATGTAATGCGTGTCACTGTAATTATTCTGCATATTGTAGCTCCGTTTTAAATATAATTTCATTGTTACAGAACATACGACCCTGGCGAAGATGTAAGAATAAAAACAGAATATGGTGAACCGGAACCAAGCCACGATCACACGTATCATAAAAATACGTGACTAGGATTAGAGGAGTCCCTAAACTAAGATAGGTGACACTTAACGACACAACCACCTTTAAGTGACTCCTAATGGTACGGTCAATGGTCAAAAGTCCACTGCCACCGTAAGACTACTATCGGTTGCGCTGCAGCGCTTATACACACATGCACACGCATATTTGTATCCGTGTGCGTACGCGTGCGTGTGTTTGTGCGTACGCACGCGTTTTGATGCACATTAATATGAAATTACTTACGCATTGCCGTGTGAACATCACTCACGGTGGACAGTGGACTTTTGACCTTTGACTGTAAGTTAGTTTAGATGTTTCCTCATGCTAAATAACTTCTAGTTAAGTAGTGGTTGGTGAAAACGGCCATTAGGGACGATTCCCTGAGGATAAAACTATCAGTCACACATACTTTACTTTTTATCCGAAGATTTTCCGAAATTCCCACGGAAAGGGGAGAAATGGTATTGCGCGTTCGAAGTTGCGGGCAGAAGCCGCAGAAGCAAATGCTGTTTTATGATATTGTAATTCAAAAAACAATGTTTTAGTTTCCTGGCATTAACAATCATTTCTCAATTCAATTCGGTCTATGTTTTTGACGGAAAACCAATAGAATTTCTGTCAAAAAGATCTTAGTTCAAAGATTTTGACTTCATATCGTTTTTTTTTTTTAATTTCAGTAAGCTAAGTACGAGTTTTTTGGCTGGCTCCAATGAACCGACCAATCAGAGCGCTGAACCTGGGGGCTTACTCTTGAATTCAATTCCGATCGATCGACATTGGTATTGTGAAATTTCGTACTCTTTTGTTGCAGAACTAGCGCCCATTGCATTTGTATTGCGTGGATATTAAATGAACTAAATGATATTGAGTTTGGCTTTATATTCCGTACTCTGAATGCTATTTAATCAGCTACGATTGTGGTTGTATAGTTTTGACATTGAGAATATTGGATTGAAATTGCATTGACATTGAGATTGGTTTCAAGAGTAAGCACCCTGGTCTCATGTCGATCTCGTTACGTAAAACAACTTCGGACTCTAAGCCCCAAGTTATACATGGTTCTTGATTTATATGATAGTATGTATAAGTATTGTGTTTATAAAGCACTATTTTTTTTGGAGACTGATCGAAACCTACTTACTTGATTATTATTGATTTGATTATTAAAATATGAATTACTTGTTTCAATAGTACACTTAGTAATTCAATTTTTGTGATATTATCGTAATAAATTAGTATTTAAGTGAATCTAATGACTTTTATTTTAACCCTTTTTTGTAATGGAAAAAAACCATTTCATGTATTTCTGTCGTCCTGTGTGGGACGAGATAGTGCCAACTGCTATTGACTGAGCCAGTATCCTAGATGTAAGTATGATTAAGTATATACTTACATTGCATAAAGAGTTGACAGTTAATTTTCTTTCGGAAAATTTCTATTATAGTAATAAATAACATAATAACCATGGTGGTGTACCTTGGTCATTATCGTAGATTCCTTAAAAGCTCGAATCAACACGGAATAAAGTGTTCTAAAACTACTTACTAGGGTTCTGTAACTGAGAAACACATGATAATTGTTAGTGCATTAAATAAATAAATAAATGATTTTATTAGATAACAAAATCACGCCTTTTATCCTCAAGGGGTGCACATAACAGCACTTCATGCCGCTGCAATGTAACGCCTACTTTTCGCTATATGAGTCCTGTGTAATAGGGGGTGAGCCTATTGTCACATACCGAACACAATTCGAATCTCTATGCTACTGAGATTTTTGAAAATAACCCAATAGTACTTTTCCCAACCCGGGAATCGAACCTAAAACCCTTTGCCCGGTAGTCTAACGAGGCATAATTGTATTATAGTGAAGCTATATAGGCAAACAGGTTGTGCACAACCTTGCGGGTTACCGGGGCTCCGACTCGAAGCAGGAATAGGTACGGGGTGGTTTTTAGTCATACTGATTTAGACTTAAAGTCTGATTCTCACCTCCTCCGAGGCAGTATAACTCATATAAATCTTCAAACAAAAAAAAAGTTGAAAATGAGCAGAGAATCAACCGATCGTTTATAATCTATGGTTGTATGGCATTTCATTGTGACAACTTTGACATTGACAAGCCAATTGACATTCTGAAGTATTCTATTGTTGATTTGTGGTATTGTGTTGTGATTTCTAATTGGAATTAATTTTATGTTTCTTTCTACATAATAAACTTTAAAAACTTATATAAAGAAATATTCCTAATATTTTTTAGTGTTATGTACCAGAACTGAGTAAATTATGTGTGACACATTAATTAAAAACTGAGATTTCCTGTAAAAATGTAAGTTATACCTAGCAATTATTTTACAAAAAAGAATTACACTACAATTATATTCTAATGCTCATATAATTAGAATTAAAATTGCCCTTTTCACATCTACTTATGCCAACGTCTGAAATAAAATTAATAAGTGAAATTTATTAAAGTTTCTACGGAATATTACAGGAATGAATTGCCTATGTGTTGTTGTTGCAACGAACACGTTTGCGTCAAGAGTATGTGGTGTGAGTACTTGTGGATGGGCAGGCCTGAAGTCTACGGCGACATGTTGCGAGACTGCTTCAATATCAGTGTGAGTTCTTATTGCTATCTCATTAGAATAAAAGTTATAGTATGGTGCATTTTGTATATCTCTGAATGATTCTTGGTTCACAATTATAAGTATTACTAGTTACTGCCAGGGGCGAACCATTGGCACGAGTACCATCGATGGCACCCATAAATGTCTTTTGTATAATAATGTACAACAAATGTCATAGTAAATTATTATGTTAGTTAGTGAAGCATATTACTGAGTCAAATTCCACTCATCACTATGTCTAAACTAATATTATTACTGTGTATTAGTTGATTAGAAATGGTAAATAAACTTCTAAAGTAAGATAATTAAAAAAAAAAAAAGAAAATTAGGTCAAGCATGTTTCTTTTTTGTTTTTTCAGTTTTAGAGTTTCTGCGGCTGTCATTTTGTAATTAAAACTTAAAGTTAAATATTTTAATAATCGTTGCTTTGCGCCTATACCTTTCTTCGACAAAAATGTTTGAATTGATCTATTTTGTAACTCCATACGAGATTGTGGTCAAATTTAAATCAACTAAAAATCGGGTTACTCACGTGAATATACTGAGAAAAGCTCTACTAGTTTCGAACCACAGAGGGGTTCTTCCTCATGAGTAGCGTGCGCAGTCGCGGCGATGTCACGCAGCTCACTTTCAGTATTCGAAACTAGAGTGCTTTTCTCAGTATATTCACGTGAGTAACCCGCGATTTTTAGTTAGTTTAGTGTGTCTCATGATAGTTATTATAAAAACGAATTCAAATCACCCTGTATGTGTTGTTAACAGTGGGCGCAGACCAATACCAGCAATGATCAGATTTGTGAGATTTGCATCACACAGCTCAGGAATGCAGCTCACTTCAAGCAGAAGGTATTAGATAGCCAGGCACAACTCAGAATGCAGCTCTTACGTAAGTATTGGTTTAATATGACACTTATTTTGTAGCCTATTAGAATCTTAAATGAGTTGTAAGGGTGCGTTCACAATGTGCCGCTCACGAGCCGTTTGCGGGCTGTCCGTGGGCAGCGCACGTGCGTTTAAAATCATTATTTATATGAACCTTGAGGAGTCCCTGGAGGAGGCCTTCACCTATTAATGAGAGGGGTTCTTGCAAAAAAAAAAACAATGCATGCTTTTTTCTTTATTATAAGTGTAAATGGACTGCCTCGTTGGCCGAGTGGTCGCGAGTGCGACTGCCGGGCACGGGGTCTCGGGTTTAATTCCCGGGTCGAGCAAATTATTACTGGGGTTTTTAAAAAAACTCAGTAGTAACGCGGAGTCTAGAATCTTGCTCGGTATATGGCAATAGGCTCACCCCCTATTACATGAGACTCATAACATAAATAGTGAAAAGTGGGTGTTACATTGTACAGTGGCATTAGGTGCCGTAATGTGCACCTCTGCCTACCCCTTTTTTT